TTTAAAGTTAAATATTTATTTTTTTTTTTTTTATTAAAAAAACACAGATAAACATCAATTTTTTGTGTGTCATGTGGTATTTTAAAGGATCAAATTAGATGTTTGTGATGTCAAATACTAAGAACTCAAATTACAGACATTGACAAGCTAGAATATAAAATAAGAACCTCTTATCTTTTCTATTTACTAAGATATTGCTCATGTAATAAATCAAACACAGTGGCACCCTGCCCACCTCTTTCCATTTTTGTAAATGCTCTCTTACATACACTTACTTCTATATATGACATGAATAACCAAACAAAAGCTCAGAATATCCCCCTAGTGGCTTTCTTAGCCATTTTAAGTTCTTAGTATGCCATCTCTTTCTTTCAAACCAATATTTCAAGGAGGTAGGGTGTGTCTTTAGTCTGCTTGAAATCTCATTTTTTAGACTGAAATACAGCTTAGTTCTTAAGCTTGATAAATTATAGTGGCATTATGTGGTATTGATATAGTAATTTGTGATTATTGGTTATTCAACTGTATATATAAAACCTAAAAAAATTATTTCGTTTCATATCCTCTATGTGTGAAATATTAAAAGGCTTAGCAACCTAACTTAGATTTTTTACTGAAAATAACAGATAAAATATAAAGTGTTTACTTAAGAAACGTTAGATAACTATCTGGACATTATAACGATTTTGCATGTGAAATAGGCAAATTTCCTGATGCATAAGTGTATTTTTAATCTTGAAATGAAAATTACTTTGCATGTTGGATAGGCAACATTCCAAAAGAAAAAAAAGGACATGAGAAATACATTGCTTTACAAACTTTAAGACTTTTGATATTTTGTGTACGAAAGCATTGTAACATTTACTGATAATCTGCCCAAATTTCATTAACATATGCTTAATAATTTAAAGTTATTGGCATGAAAACTATAACAAGCACAAAATGGTTACAAGGTTGGTCCCAGGAACCGAGCCTGTGCTGAAAGAGTTAACAATTGAAATCAGGTATAATTTTATTTGAGTATGATTAGCAGCCACAGACTATTGATCAGATATAGTTTTATAAGAATATATTAACACCAGAAGGTTGAACTGGTATAATTTTAAAAGAATATATGATTAACAACAGAAGTCTGTTTATCAAGTATATTTCTGGATCAGTGTAATTAACAACAGAAATCTGTTTATCAAGTATATTTCTGGATCAGTGTAATTAACAACAGAAATCTGTTTATCAAGTATATTTCTGGATCAGTGTAATTAACAGCAGAAGTCTGTTTATCAAGTATATTTCTGGATCAGTGTAATTAACAGCAGAAGTCTGTTTATCAAGTATATTTCTGGATCAGTGTAATTAACAGCAGAAGTCTGTTTATCAAGTATATTTCTGGATCAGTGTAATTAACAGCAGAAGTCTGTTTATCAAATATATTTCTTGATCAGTGTAATTAACAACAGAAGTCTGTTTATCAAGTATATTTGTGGGTCAGTGTAATTAACAGTGGAAGTCTGTCTATCAAGTATATTTCTGGATCAGTGTAATTAACAACAGAAGTCTGTTTATCAAGTATATTGCTGGATTAGTGTAATTAACAAAAGAAGTCTGTTTATCAAGTATATTTCTGGATTAGTGTAATTAACAACAGAAGTCTGTCTATCAAGTATATTTCTGGATTAGTGTAATTAACAACAGAAGTCTGTTTATCAAGTATATTTCTGGATCATTTGATGAGATGTAGTTTCAGATGAGTATAATTAACAACAAAAAGTGATATACTGTGAAAATTTTTATTTCTTCATTATCTACATATACTTTTATAAGAACATTTACGTGCTAACATATTTTTTCTATTGCAGAATTATGCTTAGAGAAGAGGGCATTTTTCCGTGCAATTTCAGGATTACACACAAGCATCACTGTTCACTTGTGTGCTACACACTACACACCTTGTAAGAGTTTCTTTTGTTTATAGTGTACATCAGATTACTATTGTAAATTATCACTCTTCTAAACAAGATAACTAAATTCAAAATTAACCATTTTGTTATATTGATAATATTCATATGTAAATTTATTGTATAAATTATGTATCACTGATGAAAGATTTTGATTATTTTAGTTGAAATATTTTAACAGCAAAAACTGGATTTGGCTCTGGTAATTGGGGGCTTAATGTTCCTGAATTTCTGAAACGGTTTAGCACTGATCAGACTGATGGAGAAGGACCAGATCGTTTGAAAAACCTGTACTTTGTGTATCTGCTAGAATTACGAGCTCTGGCTAAGGCTGCACTTTACATAGAAGCCCAGAGTTTCTATACAGGTGATGATGTTGAAGATGCTGAAGTAAAATCTGCTGTAACAGAACTTCTTTCTATTATCAAGTATGTGAATTGTGATTCTACTTCACACACACACACACTGTGTTATGACTGACTGATATATGTAAAGAAACAGGAAAATCTTATAACATTGTCTGTGTTGAAGATGCCACTAATCCATACATGAGAAGCGTAAAAGTTATAACTGTAGCATTGTTGTCTGTTGATAGATGTGCTGAAGTTTAATACATGCACTGGAACTGACTTGAGTTACTCTACTTCTCCCTGATTCAGCATGATTTCTGCATATCAATATATGTACACATGTAATGGAACTGATTTAGGTCATATGGCTCTATATTTGTGCATCAGCATAACTTCTGCAAATGAATAAATGCATAGGAAAGCATGTGTTGTAGCCTGAATTTCACTTTAGCTTTAAAATAATTCTGGTAACACAGAAAATCTCTTTTGTTTAAATGAACAACGATGCTGATGGAGGAAAATGTTTTTTTTTCACAGAATAACATGGAATGTTGCATATACTTCAAGTATTAGTATGATTATTGATAATATGAATATTGTTAATATGGTGAGAAAGTGACAATTGAAGCATTACCACGTTATTTTGATAATTCAATTAGAACTAACATGAGCTGAAATGTACTGAAAATAGTTATTTCTCCATGAGAAACTTGTTGACACATATGTACTTTAAGTGTAAACAGTAGCATGAAAATAGCATTCTTTAAACCAGTTATGAGTAATATTCTGCAGCAATGATCAAGCAAGAAGTTTGGACAAAATAAGTACTGAAAATATAATTAATTTTAGTATATAGTTATAATTTTCAGAGTTTTCCCCTCTATTTTTGTTTGTACTTCTTATTAAAACTCAGATTAGTTGAGTTGAGAAACGAAAGTAGGAGATGAATGTGCAGTAAAACTGTTTTACAACAGTTAATTCATCAAAAGGTATTTTTTCATAGATCCTTTCCCAATCACTTTAAAGAAAGTGTACTTTTTCCAGGAAAAGATGAGGAGACAGCAAAATTAAAAGTAAGTTATATTAGGATAGAAAAATTACGTTGTTTAAGTTTTAAGTACATTGCTGTGGGTACTTATTACCACAGCTCCATTGTCTCTATTGCACATTGTTAAGTATGTACTTGTGTATCATTAACAGTAACATCCAGAACAGTGGGGTTTTGGTATAGTGTACAGGCATTCTAATGTATTTTAGTAGTGGAATATTACTGAAAAGAACTTATTAAAAAAGCTATGACCCTGAAAACTATGATTTTTCTTATGTAGCCTAGAATTTAATTTTGCTGTAGCACATAGAAGAAAAGTGAAAAACTGGTAATTATTGTCAAGTTCTCAGTGGGCATTCCTGGTTTCTGATCTATAAATTTTTGTTTTATTGAAATGTCTTCACATATTACTACTTCTCCTGAAGCAGTTTTAAGAAGAACATCAATTGATGAGAAATTATTGTATAATGACAATTTTGCTTTCTTAATAGGCTTTTTAGATCCTAAGATCTTCTTCATTGTCTAAATGTCTGTAAATACTTGAATTGATTGTTGATGCTTTTTAGTATGTTGTTCCAAGCAGAAAGTTGTAGAACTAATGTAGTCTTGACCACAGCGAGAACAAGTAAAATGATAAACAGTGTAAGAGCATTGAAATTTGTCAGTCACATCCTTGAAAGTAAAAAAAGTTCTGTTCCTGTGTAGGTTTTAACACTATTCTTACAGATATCTGTGGATAATGTTTATTTATAATGTTCTTGATATTCTTTTACAATTAGTAACTTTCCTTACCTGGTACAGTAGACTAACATATAACAATCATTTGGGCACATCATAGCACACTTTAAGGGTTGTTAACTTCCATTAGAAACTCTTTCACCAGATTATTGATCAAGGGGAAATGAGAACCACATTTAAGTAAGACATTTTTTAATTCTTTCCAGTTCTTTTTGAAAAAAATAGTATTTGCAAATATTGTGAAAAGCTCTGTAAACTAAGATGTTAATTAAGTTTATTTTGTAGCTGATAGGTTTAAAGCTATTTGTATGTAGGTTATGATAAATACCTACTTCCAAAGTAATTCATTTTAAGATCAAGAAAAGGTAACTTAGAATTTATTTCTTCCTTAACAGTAAACTTTATACACGAATGTTGTTTATTCAGATATTACAATAACAATTTAACATGTTCCGTTCTTTTGTTATTTTTAAGAGATAGAACAGCTATAATTGTAGCTGATCTGATGGCGTATGAATCTGGTGGAATCACCTAAACACTAGAGAGCACAAATAATAACTTATTTTTTAATTTTGTTAGAAACTCAAACAAGAAAGCTGTATTACATTTTAAGAAACTGTTGTTATTAAAGAAACTTTCTAGTTATTAAAATGTGAATGATTTTGTATCTAACTTTTAGTTTTACAGAATTATTACAGTTATGTTAAAAGATTAATGCACAATATTTCAGTTCGAGGTTGAAATTTTATTGCAGAAAAACTACATGTGTCAGTTGTATAACCTAATGAAGAAGAAATTTGCAAACTCAGGATTACCAGAAATCATTTATGTAACATTTATATGTTTCTACAAAACTTCCAATTATGCACTGTTTGTAATTGTATCTATATGCTTTCATGTGCTGACACTTGCTTGTTTTTTCCACTTTTCACTAAAGTTGATAAAAATGTTGCTACTTATCCATTATTGCTGGAAATCTCATATGACTTTCATAAGTTTCTAAGGTAGCTTTTTTTTATATTCTTATTTGTTAAATTTCTTCTGCTCATTTTGTTGAAATTGTTTGGTGTTCAGGTATACTGACATTCAACAAGTAAGCTATAAGTAATCCACAATAAGTAGCAGATTCAACAAATTTTACAGAGAATAAAATGAACATGAACATCAAAGAAAATAAACAAATACAAGTGAACAAATAAACAATCTCTATTTATATTGATTATGTTATGTTCTTTAACACCAGAATGACTGGTTTCTGTATCTCTGGAGAAAACATGTTGTCTGCCCATGTCAAAGACAGGAATAAGAATAAAGATACCACACTTTGTTCCTATTGTGGTATCTCACAAACAGACCACCAATGTCAATAGCCATTTCCATTCAAAATTCTAAGGAGATTAAATCCCAGCTCATATTAACTTGTACAAGTCTCTGTACCATCTCTTAAAATAAATACAGCCTCCCTTTAGGAGGGGATGACATAGAAACAGGGTCAGGCAAATATAAGCTTACAAATTTTCTACACTCAGTGTAGAAGAAAGTTACTAAGTACATGCAGAAACATTTTCTGTATATTTTTTCTATTTACAAAAGGAGGAAATATTGCAGTTAATTAACTGTGGCCTTGCATTAGTTTAAAAAATATGCATTATAAAGTAATTTTCTTATGAATATCTTTATTTTACTTAAATAGGAAGAATTCCGACAACATTTTATTAACATCACCAGAATAATGGACTGTGTAGGATGTGACAAATGCAGACTGTGGGGAAAACTTCAGGTTAGTTAAATTGTCCTTGTTTTGTGAGATTACTTTTGTTGGGTTTTTGAAAGTATATTTAAACTAATTATAGGCCTATGAAAAATAACTTATTGTAAAACCAAGAAATCTAGTGGATTTTTTTTTAAATGGTCAAAGAATTAAGGTTCTTACAGAAATCTGCCTTATATTATAATTGAAAAGACCACTCTTAAATGAAATAATAAAACTATTTTCAGCAAATAACTACTGTAGATTGAGTTTAAAGAAATGTTTAAGGATGGCTATTGTGAACTGAAATTGTATGAAATTATACTCTCAGTGGGAAACTTTGAAAAGGTTGATCATTTTAAAGTGGTTTAATTAAAAGCTGCATAGTACTATGCTTATAAGAGGAATTATGAAAAGCTATGGATACTGTGACATAAAGCTTTAAAAAGCCAGTCAGAACCAGTTTTTCGAAAATTTGCTTTGAACCATATTTTGAAAAAAGGCACTTTGAACTAATAATTTAAGAATACACTTTGAACCAATTTTTAAAAAATCCCTTTGAAATGAGCCTGTATGACGAACTTGTCTGAATATTTGTAAGTAGGTCAGCTCACTTGTGAAATCATTAGTTATAGAATGGTATGTGGAACTAAAAAAATTTTAAGTAACTATTTCTAAGAAAACTTTTCAGAGGCTATTTAATTGATTCATTTTCATGGGCAACTGAGTATGTTTTTAATAATGAATTGAAAAAATAATCTTAGTGCAATAATTAAGAAATAAAGATAATAGAAACTCAAACTCACAATATTTCATTTTTGTGACCTTTTCCACTATACGAGATAAATTTGTTCAAATATTGTGGGATAAAAGGTTTTGAATGGTTACATTTTATATAAAACATATTTAGCAATTACTTTTTAAACTAAATATTTAATTTTTTGTAGCATTTTCCATGCTAATTACAGTGAACAACTTGTATGTAATTTTAGAAAAAAATTATGTTAAATATATTACATGCCATCAGCATTCAACACTTTTTGGTGTATGTTTATTGGGTTGTTCTTAAAGTGATCCTGATGTATTGATGTTATTTCATATAGCTTTTCTTGTTGCAAAGAAACATAGAAATATGGCTTCATTATTCCTCTTTTTAATATTTATTTCCAGACAGAAGGTCTAGGCACTGCATTGAAAATCCTGTTTTCTGGAAAACTTGACTCAGACCTCAAAATGCCTCAGCTGAAAAAGAACAGCTTTCACCTTACCAGAAAAGAAATAGTTGCATTGTTCAATGCTTTTGGAAGGTATGATTTGTTGGTTATATTGGAGTGTTATAATGGCTAGAAAGGGTATCTTAAGTATTCTTATCTTGTATCATTTTAGTTGTATTCAACCCTCAGCTACAAAGTGATATTTAAAGATGCCATGCAGTCTCCAAAGTTTCTTCTTTTTTGAAAAACTGTTTGAAAACCATATTGTTGTATTCAAAAATTTTGATGAACATGTAAAATACAAATAAAATCTATATTAGTCATACAAATATAAACATGTATAACCATGTTAAAACACAACTTCTGAAACATTAATAAATACTTTCAGTTTCTTTTCAGCTTTTGCAAACTTATGTGATTAACTTATATTTTGAAGAAAAAGCTGATTAGAATTGTAAGACAACAAATAAGATATACTGTGGGACTTCATACTTCCGTAGTGTTTGGCACTATGTAAATACTTACAAGATTAATAAATTTTGATTGATAGCAAAACCTTAAAAACAAACAAATTGACTTTAGCATACTTAAACATTACATTGAGTTTGTGTAACCTAAACATTAATTCATTTCTTAATAGAAATACAACCACAAACCATGATAATGTGAACCCAAACATTACTCACTTCTTAACAAAAATAATACAACCTCAAACTGTGATAATATGAACCCAAACATTAACTAATGTTCTAGTAATAAATACAATCTTAAACTGATAATGTGAACCAAAACATTAACTCATTTCTTGGTAAAAAGTACAACCTCAAATTGTGGTAATGTGAACCCAAACATTAACACTACAAATGTTTTAAATGTTAACATCACATGAACACCCAAGGCTTTACCACTAAAATTCATAGAAAAAACACTTACAGCAGAAATTACATAAACTGTTTTTGCAATTACGTAATCCACCAGAAACTAGGCATTGTAAAAATATTTTCTAAATGTAGCATACAATATATGCACCACAGAAAATAATGATGAAGAAGTTGCACACCTAACTCAATGTTTTATAACATAAACCAATTCCCTATTACAGTAGTTACAAAAACTAGTAAGTAATCTGAAAAACACAAAACAAAAAAAAACCTAATCACTTGCACTATCCCATATATAGAAAATATTAACATACCTCTTTCAGAAATTTGGAAAAGTAGTACATAAATATAACCTTAACATAAGGACTAGATTCATTTTCACCCCTGTAATGAAAATCAAGCACATGTACAGAACATTATGTAATAAAATCAATCCTACTATTAATAAATACCCAGGCACACCTTACGTCTTTGATTGTTATTTCCCTAGGTATTCCTAATCTTCCACACAAAAGATATTCCACATATTCATATTTATTCACTTTTTGTTCGTTTTTCTGTTCATCTATAAATAAGTAATCTGTCTATTCATGCAAATTGATATGCTCATGCATAAGTAACCACTATCAATTCTATGATTTAAGTACATTATTATGTTGTTAAATGTTGATTTAAATACTAAAACTTTCATTACCATCAAAACTTATTTACTTGAGAATGATTGTACCAGTGCTCACAATGTTGTACCTGTTTTAAAAAAAATATTCTTCCTTACTGTAAAAGCTGTAACTTGTAATACGAAAATGCTTATAAGCAGTAAGTAAACTCAAAATGAAAGTTATTTTATGATATTTTAATGCTGTTTTTGTACAGTTGATATTGAAAGAAAGTGTAATGATAATTTTTACACTTGTTTTATGCAGTTGGTGTTCACAGAAAATATAATGACATTTCTAATAGTGTTTTTTTTGTACCTTTGTTGTTGACAGAATATTTAATGAAATTTTTGTAAAGTTGATGTCCATTAACTGTGAAGTAGCATTTTGTACTTTGCTTGTCACTGTAAGGAAACTTACTTTTTTATATTATATATAGTTATTTAAAATATAACAGTGTGTTGGGCTAAGGATTCTTCTACAGTAGGTGTCTGTGACTTTTTGGTGATAAATTAAAAAATAAACAAACAGCATGCACTCCACTTGTTTTCAAAATAATATACATATGTGTGTGTGTGTATGTGTATATATATATATATTCAAAACAAGTTAAACATATGTACAAAAATTCCACACACAATGGAGGTCATAGTTATATCTTAAACACTTTATAGTTCTCTTCTTCTTGTCAAAAGTCCACTTTAGCCTATTTAGTTGCTTTGCATGTAACTTTTTTCTGACTGAAGTTCTCCTTCCTGTGACTTTACCTTACTCTCTTCTGCTCTTTTTTCGTCTGCTTGCTGCTATTTATACATCTATCACTTAGGCTTTCTAGAAATCTCTATATCCTCAACATCAGTGGATTGCATGTGATGTTCGTTAGCCTAGACATCAATGAATTATAAACACGATGTATGATTCTTACTGAGTTACCTAACCAAACTTGTCATAACTATTGCCTTTAAAATAATGTCCTTTAACTCTTTTTATGAAAGAAATTAAACAATCTTGAAATATTCACTCACAAAATAAGTAAATTAATAATACCTATACTAAACAGTCTTTTATATCTTTATATAGTTTTAAGATGTTTTTAATAATGAAGTGTTTTATACCGTTTTTTTAACCTTTTTTATTTTATAGATTGTCAACTAGTGTTTATCAGCTGGAAAATTTCAGAAAGCTAATAAAGTCCTAGTCTCTTACCCTGTTTAATAATTATGGGAAGGTGATACACTTCATTGTGTTCTGCAATTTAGAAGGAAATATTTAGCTTTAGGATGGTTGTTCTGTGATCATTGTTGCTATAATTTCATTTTTCCTCATTTATTTTCTTTTAAGAAATATGTTTTTTACATTCCTATTGTGTTCATTCACATTTTAATGTTAAATTTTTATTATTGATTTTAATTAATTGTAAATCTTTAAGCATCCTCTTGATAAGATGAGTTATCTGTAGTTATGATAGGACATTTGATTAAAGTTCGCACAATTTCCTTTTAACTAGTAAGCCTCAACATATTGTCCCAGATGAGTGTGATTTAGAATAAACTGTTTAGACTTACCATTTCCAAATGTTGCATGGTTCTTGTAGTGAAGTTAGGAAGTGAACTTTGTAAGCTAAAGTCTTGATTATATATGAATGAAATAAAGATATTTACTTAAGAAAATGTTTCTGCTTGTACTTTTATAGGTTAACCTTTTAACTAATCAGATTTATATGTTGGTCAGTATTTTTCTTAATATAATGAATAAGTCTGGTAAATACAGCATACTTAATACTCTATTCAAACTGTAATTAATGATTGTTATCACAAATTTTAGGCCTATTAATTTATAATGCATCCATAGCTTTCCTTCTTTGAACAGCAACTTTTATACTGGGTATATAAATAGCTTTTCTGGGAATTTCTCTCTTTCTCTAGTTGTGCAGCACAACTGTAATTTAATTTTTCCTAATTTATTATACTGCATATATAAGTAGCTTTTCTGGGAATCTTTTTTCTCTCGTTGTCCAGCCCACCTGACAAGTTATGGTATTACACAAAGGGCCTCTTGAGCACTGACTTATAGGAGACAAAAGAACGAGCTGAAACTATTTTTATAGCCTATGATTTTGCATATGTCAGTGGCAAATTAAGAGGTTTGTGGAAAAGGCCATCTACAATTAAAAGTGATTTCTATCATAAATTTTGGGCCTATATATTCAATAGGTTAACAAAGCTACTGATATGTGTATAGTTTGCCTATTATTTGATATTGTACAGTGGAACAAGTGTTTGATGTAATATCTTCAAAAAATTGGTCCATTGTATAATATTGCATAATATCAATTTGGCACAATGCCAGTGTTATTTATTTATCTAAATTAATTTAGGTTACTAAATGTTAAATTAAAAGTGACTTTAAACACTCCATAAATATACATTACAAATAGTTTGACGCAGACTGAATCGACATGATGGAGAGGGTACTGGACAGTAAAAACAAATAAACTGAAGGCTGAGTTCTGGGATTTTTTTTAAATTTAAAGTCCACACAATATTATTCGTAATTTCTTATAAATGTTTTTAATTAATTTCGAATTAATTTGAGGATACAACAGCCAGCTTGGATCAATTTACATATATATAATTCTATATTAAGTTAGGCTTACGATTGTTTGTCCTGTTGCTATTATGTCGAGAAGATAGTAATAGTAGGCCTAGTTTGTGGTAATAAAAGAAGAAATTGAGTGATTTACAAAATGTGGAAGTAAACAAACAAGGTGAAACGAAAAATCAAAGTACGTTTATTGACGAATATGAAAACAACGCTTCGGGCAATAGCTAGAACTTAAATGGGTTTCCAAGGGTCCTGAATCGGCTTTTAAAATAGTTAGGGTATAATAATAATAATAAAATACGTTCCTTGAATACTCGAGAACATAATTATTATTAAGGTGAAATAAAACCCATACTAATTAATTAAATGAACAAAATTGGAAAAAATATTAAAAACTAACGAAAAACAGGGGTGGAAGAAGCAATTTTGGATTGGTCGAACAATTCTGAATAGTGTGCAAAGTACACTTTCGATGACGAGGAAC